CTAGGACTGATTGTTTCCATTAATTTTGGTTTTCTTCTTTCTTCTTGACGAGGAGAGACCCGTTGTTGCATCTAGATGGCAGCTTCCTAGCTTTTAAGGTTGGACTCTTTATTTTACATGTTGTTTTTTTTCTAGGTTGAGCAGATCCTGGCAGAATTTAAGATCAGAGCCCTGGAATGTCACCCTGACAAGCATCCTGGAAACTCCAAAGCTGGTAAGTATTTAATAACAATGGTTATTTTTCAAGACAATGAGTAGCCTATGGAACCTAAACATATTGGATAGTAACTTAATTTTCTTCTATTTATTATTTTAAAACTTACCTGTATTCAATGCTGAAGGGTGTTTTTGCACTACTATTTGGTGGGGGTGGAATGGGAGCAGAGACTGTGAATAAGTGTAGGGTGATAAACCCACTGGCAGCAAGTCAATTCCGACTCCTAGTGACTCTATAGGACTGCATAGAACTGCCCCATAGGGCTTCCAAGGCTGTAAATCTTTATGGAAACAGATGACCTCACCTTTCTTATGAGGAGAGGCTGGAAGGTTCGAACCACCAACCTTTTGGTTAGCAGCCAAATGTGTTAACCACTATGCCACCAGATCTTCTTGTGTGGGGTAATGTTGTTGTTGTTATGTGCCATCGAGTCGGACCTGACTCATAGCGACCCCTCCTTGGGTTTCCGAGGCGGTATCACTACGGAAGTACATTGCCCAACTTTCTTCCGAGGAGTGGCTGGTGGGTTTGAACCGCCAGCCTTCTAGTTAGCAGTCAAGTACCTTAGGCACTGTGCTACCAGAGCTTCTGTGTAGGGTAGTAGTAAACTCGAAACCAAACTCACTGCCATCAAGTCAGTTCTAACTCACAGCAACCCCCATTGGGTTTTTGAGGAGGTAAATCTTTACGGAAGTAGATTACCCCATCTTCCTTCTGCAGAGCTGCTGGTGGATGTGAACTGCCAACTTTCTGGTTCGCAGGGAAATGCCTAAGTTACTATGCCACCAGAGCTCCTTAGGGTAATAGTAGTTACTTAAAATCCATTTTCCTTTTCCTATGATGTGCTGCTTCATGGTTTAAAATATGTCTGGTTCATGCTTAACCTGTCTCCCTTCTGCTCCTCCCCTATCTCTCTCCTCTTCAGAGCTAGACTTCTTGAAAAATAAATCCACAGTTGTTGTTTATACTCCCCTTCTCCCCAGTTTTCCGTTTATCCCTCTCTGACTTCCTCTTCCACCTTTCTTTCTTTTTTTAAAAAATTTTTGTTGTGATTTGGGTGAAAAGAGGAAATTTTTTCCATATGGCAGTTCACATACACTTAGTATGACATTGACTGCAATTTCCCACAGTGCATCGGGTCTCTTCTCACTTCCTCCCCATAGTTACCTTTTGCCTGTGTCCTTCCCTCCCATGCACTCCTGCCCTTTGAGCTGTCTCCCTGTGCAAACACAACCCTTCTATTCTCCCATGATTGATCTCTCTTCAATTTCACTTTAGGAGTGTATCTACCTAATGTAAATGTTCAGCTCATATGCTTGTCTTTTTTTTGTCTGGAAGCCACAGGAGTGAGTTCAATTTTAGACCCTAAGGACAGCTAGGGGCCATAGTCTCAGGGGTTTCACCAGGCTCTATCAGACCAGAAAACCTGTTTTTTTTTAAATGATTTTGAGTTTTGTTCTACATTGTTCTCCACTCTATCCGGGATCTCCTACGTAGATACCCCTCCAAGTAGTTGACAGTGGTAGCTTGGCACCATCTAGTTCTTCTGGTCTTATAGTCTCATAGGGTGAGGATCACATGGTGTACCAGTCACTTGGACTAATTGTTTCCATGCATCTTTGGTTTTCTACATTCTACTTTGCTTTGGACGAGGAGAGACCCATCGTTGTATCCAGATAGCTACTTGCGAGCTTTTAAGGTCTCAGTCACTACTCACCAAAGTAAGATGTGGAACAATGTTTTTTGTGTAGTATGTTACGCCAGGTGAGCTTGATGTTCCCTGCAACCATAGTCCTGAGCCCACAGGTTCAACTACTCATAATGACAAAAATTGAACTCATTTTCCTCTTACTTCTAAATTCTTGCTCAGTTTTCTGTTTCCCCAGCTCAGTGAATGGTACCGTCATCCACTCAGTTACTCAAGAAGAAACCTTAGCTCCTTCCATTCCTTAAGCCCCCACATCTGGTTGATGGCTAAGTGCTGTGGCCAAGAAGTCACTACAACCTTGTCCCTTGTCAGCTCTACTACATACCTGGAAATTCTTACAGAACATACAAATACACTTGTAGAAACATTGTCTGCCAACCCTATATATCATCATGGGCACACTCTCCCCTGCATAGACGTACCTGATCATTCAGCCAAAAACACCAAAAAGCAAACACATTGCCGTCGAGTTGGATCTGACTCATAGTGACCCCTCCTTCGGTGTCCGAGGTGATATCACTACAGAAGTAGATTGCCCAACCTTCCTACTGAGGAGTGGCTGGTGGGTTTGAACCTCCAGCCTTCTGGTTT